TGTATCAGACGCTGTGGTATCTTTTATCTCAAGCTCACCAGGATATATCGTATCGACATAAGAATGGAAATAGCCATTGTTAATTGACAATACATCGTCGATATATCTAAATGTCGAGTTAAAGGCCACAGCAAGTGTTTTCTTCTTTTCACGTACAAGATTTTGGACAAATTCTACTTCATATGAATACAAAAAAGGTCTGCTAATAACGGGGCGCAATTGGTACCCATGGGAATTCCAGTAGATTGTTGGAAGACCTGGTCTCCAAAAACCACATATATAATGTCAATCAGAAACTCAAGCATCTTTTTAATGTCAACTTCATAGTACTTGTGTGTACAATCAGAATGTTTTTTTAACAAAGTAATTTTGCAAATGACCAATGACAAGGTAAGTATATTTACGAGTTTCATTTTATTGAAAAAGCAGCTGTCAATTATATAAAAAAAGCCTGGACTTTAATTTATCGTGGGGAATGGTTGTGTATAAAGTAGAAAAGTGTCGTAAGTTTTTAAGCTGTTGATTTTGGTAAAATCTTTTGATTTCAAATTTTCCAAAAGTTCCTTGGAATTTTTAAGTATCCACATCTGATTTACACCACTTCTCGAATATATTGTTGCACAGTACTCTTGAAGTTTCTCCTTCACCACTGTTAATATCTTAGTGAGGAGTAAAGAAAGAGGCTTGGTTGAACATTTACTGGAACCCGCTATGTATCTTTGTTTGTAAGGATTTTTATGAAGTTTGAATCCAGTATAAATTGGTAATTCAAATTCATTTTGGTTGTTTGGAATATTAAAAATATTCAAAACTGACATATGATTTTGAAGAATTTCTTCCTTAGAAAGGGAACTACGAGTATAAGTTGGATTACCACTTGTAGAATTAAATCCAAGTTCCTCTAAAATACATTTAATATAATGAGCCTTACAAACAAAGACAATGTTGTTACCTGCTTTGTCAGCAGGGACCAGTACGTACTGATCATGTAATCTATCTAATTCTTTTTTCACTTCTGGAAATCAGATGCCTAGGAGGAGAAAGCATCCTACGTGATCGGACACACCTGACGTGAGTCATGTGTATTGATGTGGTATGCGGAATATTCTGTGGTCAAATTCAATATTAAAACAAAGGCCTGACAATTTGTATGAAACTACGACCCAGCAGTAGGTTATAAATGTATTTGCTAACAAGACCATTATAATGACCATAGAATTTATGAAATGCTGATTTTAAACGGGGTTGTTGAAATCCCTGTGACATCAACTTATCTGTCAGTAGCCCGCCTCTGTCTTAAAGATTGACCATCCAGCATGCTCTTGAGTAAGTTGGGAAATGTTATCACCAAATGCAGGTGATAGCGGGATATTACTACATGTACATAAATAAAGAAAAGTTGACGATGGAAAAGCTGAAGTAATTTCGTTTGTCATTCAGTTTAGTTGTTAGCTGGCCATTATCGTCTATACTGAATGAAACATCTCATTGTGAAACAGATGTGGCAGACTCTGTAGTGTCTTCTATTTCAAGTTTACTGGGATATTTCTACAAATGAATAGAAGTAACTATTGTAAATTGATAATACGTCGTCGATACATCAATGTCGCGTTGATGGACGGAAGACGGACACCTTACTATCGCATAAGCTCTTCTGGTCTCTGACCAGTAGAGCTAAAAAACACATCTTGCTTTTGGGACAGTCAAATTGGTGTGCCTCTATAGTCGGAAAGACATTGGCATTCGGACTCGAGCAAAAGTTTCCCAGGTCTTCACCACTACATCGCGATAACAGTTTGAATGTTCCCCGCATAGTTTTAAAATAAGTGTATAAATTGTTTATCTTAATTATTTAAAGTCATAACTATTTAATGTGGCATTTTTCTAAACTAAACATTATTTGAATAATGTTGGGACTTGTTCGATTCTAGAACAGATTAATTTCAATGGCTCTTTTATGGTCTGTTTTATGATCTTTTAAGGCGTTGTAATTACAAAACAATTACGCAAGATCTGCATGCAATTCGGAATTCAGCCTTTTCATGATTATTGATGAAGGAAGTGCGCAAACAGTATATAGACACGCGGAAAAAATCTTGTGAGGTACGTTGCATTTTGACTACGATTATGAATAAAAGGTTAATACCTGTCATTACAGAGTAGATGGTTAATACTGGTTGCTTTTATAATTAAAAGATAAGTTGCTTTAAGGTCAAGATCTAGTAAATGAAAGGTGCCTACAGATTTCTCAAATTTGAGAAATAAAATCCTTGAATGATGCTTTATAACTTTAGCTTGGTCAAATAATGTGTTTCGGGGCATAATTTGTAGACGAACAAGGTGAAAAATCATATTTTAAACTGTCATTTTCAATGAAAAATTAAGAAAACCAGACATGAATACGGGAGTTTTTTCCATATCAGACAAAGAAAATATATCCAGATTGCCTACAGTCTCTTAGAAAACGATAATTTGTACGTTCTTGGCCTCTTCTTTAAAATAATATTAAATTGAATATAGGTATCGGGATTACTTTTCACATGATTTCAAATTGAATTGCATGAAAATACTTTATTTTCTACATAATTCTATTAGAGCCGTAAAGTACGGGAAAAAGAAAGTAAAAATTGATTATGACGTCATAATGGATCTAGCACCAAAAAGTTAGTCTGAAGTCATTTGCTAGATCTTGACCTTAAGCGTTAGACGTCGTTTGATATAAATGTCAAAGTTATATGTATACCAAACGGCCTACCTCTTCTTTTTTTTTGTTTCTCATCATTTTTGTTTATCAGTTTGAAGTGAAGTAGCGACCGTGTCACATGATGCATTAATTTAAATAGAGGCATTATTTTCCTAGGAGGAAAATAAATAATTATAATTTGACATATTTATAACTGTTTAATTAAAAAGTGTAAATGCATTCTTCTTCTCTAGCCCTGGGTATTTAGCAAACATAGCAAATGCATGGGTATGATAAAAAAGGGTGTCTCTTCCAAAATTTTAAATTTCACGAGCCCTGGCTCAGAGGTTCTGGTTATGGCGGGGCTCGATTGGTTATTGTATGCCGGGACTCTGTTCATTATTAAGTGAAAATGCATTATATAATTTATTGAATATCTAATCTCTTCGCCTGGGTTAACTAAATGCATAGTTATGAGCAAGGTGCCTAATCCAAAATTGTGAAATTTTTGGGTCAGGGGTTCTGATGTTAGGATGTGACTATATTGAATAGAGAGGTTGAGATAATAAACTTGTACATGTACGTGTATAATTATACTTTGATGTACACGTATACGTTTTTGTATTTGTTTGTTGAGCTTTTAATGATGTGTAACATGAACGTGTACACTGCATTCGATGTCTCTGTTTCAACTTTTTAGTAGTTTTGTGATATCAAATTTTGTGACAATTAGTCTGACTTTATTTAGTTAGTAAACAAAGCATGATTAAAAAGTGCTCTGAAAAAATGTACAACAATCACATTTTCACACATAAATTGACTAATTTTTATTATAAAAGCTACAAGTTTACACTTAACGTGTAGATGCCGCTCAGCAAGTTCTAGGAACCCTTAGAAAATTTGTCAACACTAAAACTGATGACGTAAAAAGCGAGAAATTTAGGGAATTCACCTCCTAGACTTACACGTATGAAGTCTCAGTCTTTCATGGTGAAAATGCATTAATTCTTTAAAATCTTCTCTGTTCCTAAGCATCTAGGAAACAGAGTACAACATTTTAATGAGCAAGAGCGCTTTTACCAGAACTCCTGACCCAAGAATTTTGCATATCAATATGATTTAGTGTGGCCTTGATAGTTTTGAAAGATTTCTTGGCGTTTCCTATATATTTTGAATACTTATTTTAGCCTTATCCTAGCCCTATGAGACATACTTTGAGGATCCTTTCAAGAACAACAGGTCAAGAATATACATCATACTGTTACATGTATGCAAGCATACCCTGATAGTACAATTTCATTTTTTTTTTTTTGTCTTTTTCAAGTCTTGGCCTTTGGGTTAGGTTGGGTATCAAATTATAACAACAAATGTTTTGGAAAAACATAATTATTTGACAATCCTAATACCGCTACCATCTTGGGTTTACAATGTACAGTTGGTGGTTTTTCTTTCCTTTCAGTGGATTTTTTGTCGTATGAGTAAACGTCATCCTTAAGAATATTTTGAAAAGATTCCCTCCTATATTTTGCCTTGTAATACTTTCACCCCCTTTTGTGACCGAACCTTATCCCAGGGTCCATAATTAAAGTAAATTTTAGATCCGTGTTAACTGTACTCCTTTATTGTTTAAATGGACTTTTGAGCTTGAATACTGTTCGTTAACTCCATAAATTTCATTAAATCACCCAGGCCATTTTTTTAAAAATAATGTGTGCTTGCCCTCTTCCGACTCGGGATGAAAAAAATTGGGTCGGAAGGTAGGTAATTTTTTTTCTCAAAAATACCAAAATATATGCTGAGTTTTCAAAATCTATTTTCCAGAATGCATAAAAAAATAACTGATTCCTGAAGGTTAAAAAAAGTTTTAAGTCGGACCCTTTTTAGCCAGTCGGTCGGGGAAGGGCAAAAAACATTTTTTTTAAAGATGGCCCCATAATGAATACTTTCAGGTTCACTGTAAGCTTCTCTTTTCTTTTTGTCTCTTCATTTGAATTAAACTAAAGTAGACCCTTCACCCAAAGATGCTTGTGACAAGCTTGCTTATAAATGATCTATTGGCTCTGTCGAAGATGTTAACAGACGAACCAATATTAATGTTTATTCAAAAACTTCACTTAAACCTTTGGATCAATTGATCTAAAGAGTGAATCAAACGGGGAAAAGAGGGTTTGCTTGAAAAGCTTGACCTTAAATTACATATGCAGTGTTTCCATCACTTCGTTACAATTCCAAAACTCAGTAAATCACGGCAATACACATGTATTAATACTGCAGGAATGCCTGTATTGAATTTAAAAAAAAAATTCTTTTTTTTCAATTTTATTATTAGAAATATTTGATAAATTTACAGATAAACATATTAGTTTGATTTGTGAAATGAAAAAAAACACGACAATATTAATGTCACCTGTGTTTATAATACATTCTTAAACTGTAAGGCGTATACTCAAACATTAATTACACAAGACAGACATCTCCACATATTCAGCAGCTAGATCGCACGAACGACACTTTCCTACTCTTAACGTAGAAAGGATTAAAGAAATTGTCTCGCATACTCATAAGAACAGCCCCATATCTAATGCCAGCGCAAGACATCACTTCCTTGATTGGCCATATGATCTCCATACATACCTAACGACGCTCTCATGAGACCGAATTGCTAACAGGAGCAGTACTTAATCTAATTAAACTGTCTAAGATGAACTTTATTGTTATTCTGTATATCGTGTCCATATTGTCACTATATCGATCTCCTAGTGTGATTTTAACAGCTTCTAAGAAGGGTTTCTCCATTTCCTGAAAGAAGTTGATGAAAAATAATGTATTAGCACAAAATATAATCACAACATGATTTCAAGCTACAAGTCCGGCAATATGCTTGATTATTAAGTTGTCAGTTGTATATTTTTCCTCTCTTTGGCCCTCTGGTTCATATTTCAAACACTTAGTGCTAATTTCAATAACCTTATAGTCGCCCACGTGGCGCAGTGATTAAAACGTTTGGTCTAGAGTCGCGGAGTAAAGAGTTGATCCTTACGTCGCGGGTTCGAATCCCACTGTGGGACGTGGAGACCGGTATAAACCGAGGTCCCGTGTCGCAGTAGGTGCTGCCAAGAAAAAGGTCCCTCACTGCTCAGTGGCCCTTAGTGCCGAGTATAGGTCAAAATTTGGCGTCTCCATATGTGTAAAAATTTCTAGAGAGGGACGTTAAACAATAATAAACAAACAAACAATAACCTTAAATCACGTATCTTGCTAGAGATCAAGGTCAAAAATGTCCTTTTGTCTAAGGAAAAATTAACTCACACTGCATACATATAAACTTTCGATAATAAATGACCAAGTTAGTAACCGATCCGTCAGCCCTAGGTTAAGTTTGTATTCAATCAACTGGTAAATTTTCACATCTCAATCAGAGAGGCAATCGTGGTGTTTTTTATTTCGTGTAAGCTGCCAGTACAAAGACCTAACATATTGATTAAATATTGCTGCTCGAACAGATGTCGTAACTACCAAGTCCCATGAACACGCGATTGGAAAAAAATTTAAAGTCAGCGACAATGTTTTCCCTCCTTGGATCCTATAGTCAATCGTAGAAATGAGTAGCATTTAAAACTGCATGTTTATCTATGAGAGGTCATAAAAGTACATTTGTAAAGAAATGGAAAAGTTATTTATGATGAATACTATCAATGTTATTTCATTTTACTTATGTATTTTAAAACGTTGTTGGTTCACATCGAATTTTGAAAGACTTACCCATATCAGCTCTGTTTGAAATCCGGGAAATTTCATGTGACTTTGACCTGTGGCTTTGAGTACATCTAACACATAGTCCACATTATCAATGTTGGATATTAGTTCATCCAGAGTCCCCATCACAGATATAGCATGTTTCTCTACTAATTCACTAACACGGATTTCATCCTCTGTCTTTAAGTGTTGAAAACGTACGAACATGTTTCTTATATCTGCGTTTGCCCTGAACATCCTGAAAACAAAACAAAATAAATTAAATTTCTCTTTGAACCTTTTATCTCGATAGAATAAAACTAAATGCAAATTTCCAAGTCTTTTACGAAAGCTTTTTTTGGTGTAAAATGACAAAATAAACATGCAGCAATTAAATCCCTGTATATAGTTTTTATTTGAGCAAGTCCAATTAAAATCAGCAACAAGAGGCCCATGGGCCATATCGCTCACCTGAGCACATTTGCTAGAAAAAAAGCAGAAATCAGTTTGCTATTGAAAAGGGTAAATATATGTGAGCACAAATACATGGACTCCCTCCCTTTGGGTAATGGGGGGGGGGGGGCTGATTTATTCAAATTGAATCTTGATCGCCCACTTTGTCCCCTCCTAACCCCCAGGGGTCATGATATGAACAAACTTGAATATACACTACTTAAGGATGCTTTTACATAAATATCACCAATCATTGCTTTACTGTTCTTAAGAAGATTTTCCCTATATATTTCTATGTAAAACTTTGATCGCCCATTGCGGCCCCACCCTACCCGCAGGGATCATGATTTGAACAAACTTGAACCTTGATTTTGTCAGAAAACTTTCACATGAGTTTCATCTTTTCTGGCCCAGTGGTTATAAGATTTTTAAACCCCCACCCAATTTTCACTATTTGTTTGTTGTTTCCCCTTGGAAAAGGGTGTGACCCTCCACTTGAACAAACTTGAATCCCCTTTACCAAAGGATGCTTTGTGCCAAGTTTGGTTGAAATAGGCTAAGTGGTTCTTGAAAAGATGAAAATGTGAAAAGTTTACGACTACGAGGACAGAAACGGACAAATTTTGTTTAGCTCAGGTGAGCTAGAAAAGTTGTTATAAGCATTATATTAAAATAACTCTTGGTTTAATATTATGTCCCTATAGTTTTAATTAATGCACAAAATACATATTAAGCACTATTTTTCTGTAACATTAAAATTTTAGGATGTGGATACATTATAACTTTGAGGAAAAAGAAGTTTGATGGAATGGGAGTGTGTTCTCATTTCATTCATTCATCGTATTTTCAATATAGAACAACATGCACAACAAATGTTTTAATAAATGTAAATTAAATTTCTGTCATGCAATTTTTGTTGATTTGTAACACTAGAAAATCATGGTATTGAAAAAATAAAATCACTAAAAATTTAGAATAATAAAGAGTCAAATGAAATGAGAAAATAATTTCCCTGATTGTTAAGTACAGATTCCGACTCCACACTCTTTACCATTAGTTGAAAGCTTCGTTCGTGCATGTCAGTTTGTTCATTGCCAGTAAGTCTCCAGTGTGAGAATTGCTACAAACACAGTAACATCATACATGTATTCCCACCTTTCTAATGTTGTAGCCAGCCGTACTAATCAATAAAGGAGATAATTATCTTGGAAATCGCATGTAGTCAAAAAGAACATCAACAACTTGAAAGGCTTCAATAGTATCTAACATGAAAACAATAAAAAGTTAGGGTTTTTTTCATAAATATAAAATAAAGGGGATCATGACTATCAGGGCTAACCCTGAGCGAGATTGTTAGTAAAAGCGATTTTTAACTCATTTCCGTCCAAGTATTTTCATTGTTAACTACAAATTAACATTTATTTCACTGAAATTACTGTCCCTTGTAATACTACGTACTGTAAAAGCAGAAATATTCGTTGGGGATTAAATTTCGTTTATTTCGTTGTTTACAATTATCAACGAAATTAAATCCCACACGAAATTTTTATATGACTATATATTGAATAGGGATACTTTCGAAACAACGAAATTAAATGCCCACGAAACCTTTTTAGATGACAAATCAACGAAATTTCATCCCCACGAAAATTTGTGTTTCTACAGTATGCTCAAAAGAATATCACTTATGATGACCTTATCAACGAGGTCCATACCTTTCATTTGTGGTAAGAATTATACAAATCACTGGCCAGAGTTCAAGAACGTATAGATTTTATTGCATGGCACGTATTTAATTCATACAAAAATGTGGTGTACGGAAATCCATTTCAATACAGCATATTGATTGCTTTTTCACCGATTTCTAACGAGCAGACCTGGGCTCTTTCGCGTGTAAATTATTGGTTAATCTTTTAACGGATATTAGAACTTATTTATTGGGTGTAAAACTTCTTGAAATATCAAGAGCAATCAGATATTACACAAAATAAAAAAAATAGGTTCCTGAGGACTGATCGATTTCAAGCGCAAATAAAAATTATATTGCATCTTAGTACGTCTAATTTAAAATGATTTTGGTACAAATTTATACCATCTGTCAAAAACATACTTTTGTTTAGGCTGTTAGATTATTGTAATCAAAATTAAATCAATATTCTCTAAGCAATTTGCACAGATTGCATGAAAAGAATGTTCGACCGCCTTATTACAACTTGACGCGTTTAAGTCCCTTCGATTTCTTGAAAACCAAAGCCTCATTGATTGTATTCTACATTGCAAAAAGATATAGATCTCCTGCGATGAATAATTCCCATTAGTCTGAGGCACATTTTAGAATGAACATAACAATGTAAGAAACAGTCTCCGATGAGACTGCACCTCTTCAACTTACAATTATTACGTTAAGGATATCTTAAACCAGGAATTCTAACTCTTAGTACATGTACATCATCTTAATTAAAATATACATTATCTTAATATCTGGTCGCGGTTATGCATATAGAGAAATATTTCATTGAATGAATAAGTCTCAAAATAGAGCTTGAAATTAAACTTTTCTCGCCCAACAGTTTACATTCCATGCATTTTGATATGATCCAAGGTTCTCTGAAGTCTTTGAAAGTATAAAAGCTAGGGAAATATAAAAGCGGGGGATAAGAGTCAGAAGATAAATCTAGATGGTTTTTTTTACTAATTGTAAATGGTTATAAATGTCATGTAATCATTTACAGCTTAAGATTCGAAATTAGTGCACCACATTTTTTGACTATCTTAAAAGCTTTATTTTGAAAGGGAAAAAATTGGCGTTTTTTATATCTGTACCAGATTTTAAATAAAGACGGTAGAAGGGGTTGCGTCATGAAACAATTTTATATACTTTTTAACCATGGTAATACTGAGCATTACTGTAAACAACAGTGTTCATGACAAGTAAATCATTTGTCTCTTGCAACTTATCCATTCATTTATCATGTGATATTCATTCTAAACTTTTATTCTAAAAACAAAATCAGAAGGAAAAAAAACAAACAAACAAACAATCCAAAACAAAAATACTAAGCAAGCTGTTAGAAAACGGATTTCAGGAATGTGGAAAGGTATTAAAAATTCTTTTTCTATTTAACATTTTTATGAACACAGATAAGTTTTGTCGGCGTCATGATTTCTTATCATGGGCATTAAATCTTCATCTGATATAGTTTTTTGATGTGTTGAGTCTTTTCATGAAGGTTCACGAGGAAGTGATTTGAATTAAGAGAATTAGTTTATTGTAATCGGACAAAAAGTAAAGAAAAGGGAAAAAACTTTACATATATCAGTGTGAAAGCTCATCTTGACTGTGATCAGTAGAGCTAAAAAATGCACTACATGGGTTTCAAATAAATCGAAGCGTTGAACAGGGAACCATTCGTTACGGGATGCTCTTTCTCGGGTTATAGAGCCCAATATGATACAACTGTCTACGTTCTGGTGAAGAATCTCTAAGTTTTCACATTTATTTGATATTATAGACAACTCTAAGATTATTGTACAACTTAATTTTGTTCCTTACTTCCAAAGTGCAAACAATGATATTTTATCTTGCATACTGTAAAGTTGGTTATGTTGCTGCAGGAATTAAGATTCATAGCTTAAGCTTTCAATGATTTAAACATGATATTTCTCTCTCACTTTATTGTAAAGTAATCAATCTCTATAGTCGGCATTCAACTTATATACTTCATGGTTGTTTCTGTGTTTCTTAAAACAATTTATAAAGTCCAAAAATTATTATGTGTTATTCATGTATGTTTAAAGATGCTACACACTTGATGACAATTTGTAATTTCATTTACTTAGTAAATGTTTATTAGTACATGTTTATTGTATGTACATGTACATGATAGTAAATATTGTCTTTGAGACGTTTGTCTCTTAATAAACTGAACTGTTGAAGCCCTGCCTGAACGCAGTGATGACAGAAAATAAGCATATCTACATTGACAAGTTTGGAAGTTCCTAATCTATCATTGGTCAAATAATGATTGAATAACTAACTCCTAGCTCTCTGATTGATGAGATCCAACTTGTAGGGAAAAAAATACCACGTTATATTCACCTGCAGGTTACCTAGGTGAAGATAAAAAATTATTTTTCTACATTGGATAAAAATTGGATTGAGTACCTCAAATGTGATACAATTAGATACAAGAAAACATTGATGTAACCATCAATTGTCGCCCGGGAAATAAATAAAGTAAACAATGGAAATGAGTCTTGATCATCAAACCGCTTCGATATGTGTGACAAAGGCATGCATCTAAATGATGGAGACGATAGTCGAGAATATTTTGAAAACTTATAGTCGGATGAAAATCGAACAAAAACGATACCCTTTTAAACTTTATCAATTCCTCAAGTAAATGTTGGCTGCATAAAATATAAATTGAAACGAGACACATGCATCACCTATTTTCAAAAATGTCTTTCACTTTAAGAATATAAAACACGAACTGTGTAAAGTACGTTTTTACGTTTTTATGCGATAAGTAAAATTCGATGTTCTAAAAAAAGGGACCTGTCGTTTTTTCGATAGTAAATGATAAGCAACTTTATATATTAAATATGAAAAACATATATATTTTTACAGATTCACTTTATGGAAGTAAATATATTGTGTTTCTCGTAATTTATAAAGGGAAAGAACATTCTGATAAACAATGTTTTTAATGTTTAGAAAACCTTTGATTCTGAATAACTTCTCCCACCTCAATCCCCATATACCAACACTTAAACTTATATGTATAGAGCAGCCCGGTCCTCCGG